TGGGGAAGAAAGAAAGGGATTACACGTGTAGTAGTGGAGGTTCCATGGTGAATCCCGATTTGAAGCAAACGAAACTCAGTCCACAAGCAACACGCGAGTCTTCTGGCCCAACGCCGACTACTTTCTCTCTTCTATTTTGCTAATTATCCTTTTAATTTATCATGTGACATGTATATGAACAAATTAGAGAGATATGAACAAATTAAAAAACTTTGCTGGGTTTTTGGATATGATTTCTTTTTCTTGGTTTAGCTAAAAATAAATAAATTTACAAATGTATTTATTTATGGTGATAGTTTTCAGAAACATCATAAGACTTTATTGTCAGTGACCAAAAAAAGTTTTTGTTTTTTTTATATTGAAAGTATTAGCCTATTAGGATAAGAAGTAGATTTTTAATGAGAAAACTAAATGTGATTTATTCAAATCTAAATTTAAATATATTTTATTGTTGTATAATAATTAATTTTAAGTTTTCTATCTAAATTTATATGTGTATATCATGGTAAAAATATTTAAAAGCTTTATTTTATTCAATTTAAAGATTTTGAATACTATTTATAGTAAATGAATTTTAAATATATTAAGGAAATCCAATTGTTGTCCAAATGGTACAAAATCTATCCAAGATCAATAAATCACATTTGAGTTTACAAATGTCATAGTGGTTGAGAAAGAGATTATTCATATTTCTATACCAAATTTAGATTCAGTTTTTAAAGAATATGAATTTTACAGATAACAGAGGTAAATTTATTGAAGATTTTGAATATGATGGTGTAAAGGTATCGTCGTGATTTTTTGTGTTAAAAGTAAATTTGTATATCATGATTATGTTGCAAATAGCTAGAATGGTATATCGTAGATCTTTGTGGTGCTAGACTGTCCGTTGTGACTCGTTCATAAATATGTTCGTCATGTTTCCATTTGTTCCATGGAGTAAGGTTCGCTTGTTGTGTTGTGATTGACATATTCATCATTTGTAATATGTATCATCTTAACTAGTATATAACATTTATATGGTTAGCATTTTTAGAAAGTTTTAGGTTTTGATTTGGTACAACCGTAAAATCAAACGAGTTTTCTACTTTTTTTCTTGATAAAATGTTAAAATGTAAAGAAAAATAATACATGGATATGACTAGAAAGTCATAAAGTTTGCGAAAATTGGTAAAGAAAAATAGATTCAACAAACAAATAAGTAAACTACTAAAGAGAAGAAAACCAATTCTAAAGAGAAGATTTTTATTCTTTAGTGATTCATAGTGTGTAGCTGCATGGCCGTCTCCGCAAGTAGCAAATTTTAAAATTTTTTTGACTTAGGTCAACAGC